ACCTAGGAGTTGAATTTCTCTGTCTCATTTCTCTTGGGAACAGACCTAGGAGTGAAATTTCTTGGTCATTTGATAACTCTGTATTTAACCTTTTAAGGAATGTGAAGTTGTTTTTCAAATCAGCTATTGTACCATGTTACATTTCAACCAACAGTGTTTATAACTTTTGCACTGGCTCCATGCCTGTAGCTCAAGTGGCTAAGGCACCAGCCACATATACCAGAGCTGGTGGGTTCAAATTGAGCCTGGGCCTGCCAAACAACAATGACAGCTGCAACCAAAAAATAGCTGGGTATTGTGGCAGGTCCCTGTAGTCCCAGCTACTTGAGAGGCTTAGGTAAGACAATTGCTTAAGTCCAGGAGTTGGAGGTTGCTGTGGGCTGTGATGCCATAGCACTCTACCCTGGGTGACACCTTGAGGCTCTGTCTCAAAAAAAAAAAGAAAAACAACTTTTGCATTAAACATGGATAGTCTTTAAAGAAACCCAGCACCATTTCTACCTGAAATAGAAGATTAGTAGATGTTCAGCAAATGTTTGTTGCATGGAAAAACTGAATGGGCATTCTGAGGAAGATGAGGTCTGAACATGGGAAATCAGAGGGAGATAGGTTGAATTCCTGACAGTCAACGTCATTCTAGCACCAGTTGGTCAGGCCTCTCTGAGCCCCATGTGATTCCCAATTAGGATCAACCAGACCTTTCTGAGCCTGAGATTGACCTGGAAGCTCTCATGGAACTATCCACAGACGAGCAGAAGATACAGTTGGAGGTAGGACAGAGAATGGAGGACAGGGACTGGAAGCTGGGCTTGGGCCAAGAGGAACCCAGAAACCCAAGCTCTGCCTCCTTGGGTGTAGAGATCTAATTCAGAGGGGAGAATTTTTGGAGACTGACTGGAGCCTGTGGAAAGGTGCTGTATAGGCCTTATACTCTGCTCTCTCATACCCAGGCCATTCTTCAAAACTGCTCTCAATCCACAGAGGTAAGGGATGTTCTGCTGATCTGGGGATAAGAAGGGCCCCAGTTGGGGGAGGGAGCTAGTGAAGAGGAGGGTTGGAAGGAAGGTTGGCCATCCTTCTCCCTTCCCTAGCTTTGGGGAGATAGGGTTGGGGGAATCTAGGGGACAGTATGGTGGGTGGACGTGACCCCATGCCTTGATCTCACTCCTGTTTATTCCTTAGCCTTTTATCTCTGAGCTGCTCAGTCAACTCAAGAAACTCCGCAGACTCAGTCGGCCTCAGAAATAAGCCTGAGATACTATCTTCAGCAGCCTCCACACCGCCAGGCCTACCTTGAACCTCTGGATCCCAGCTGAAAGGGAAAACAATTCCTTGGGACACAAAGAACCTGGAGGACAAGGAGGGACATTTTTTACATCCCTAGTGTATGTGCAGTCACAGCTGGTTTCTGACAGCTGGGCTCTCTAGGAACCAATCATGGCTGCTGCCCAGTGCTTTCCCAGGCAGCCAAATGGATAAAAGCTTTAGGAGCCCCAGCTAAATGGAGTGTGGAGCCTATCTGTGCTGAGGGACATGGGGAGGGACATGGGGAGGGAAAGGGTGACGTGAAATACTGGAGGGCCAACATCCTGAGTCACTAGAGGCTATACCCACTATCCATCCATCCATCCATCCATCCATCCAACAGGCCTTGAGAATTCAGATGGTCACAGCTCTGCTTCAGAAAGATCACAACTTAGCAAGGTTCAGGGGCCAAACAGAGGGCATCTAAGACACACAACATCCTACCATCACCAACAAGAGGGGCTCCAGTGGCAAAACTAGTTTTGAATCCAAGAATAGAGGTAACAGAAAGAACCTAACTGGATCTGGGGGCATCAGAAGTTAAACCTCTACCCACAAATGATGCTCTCAGACTAAGGACTCTTTCTCGAATTGGTTTCAGCCAGAGGCAGAAAGAAAAAGCAAAAGCTGGCTCGGCGCCTATAGCTCAAC